TACGTACAGGAGTTGAAGGACATAGGGGTTAGGAGAGAAGCCTGGTGTTAGTTACATCTTATGTAATACCGTACTGCCACTAGCGAGTCTCTGGAGAGTTGCTAGAGTATTATTATAAATATATTGCCGTCCGCTCTGTACTTTGATCCAGAAACCGATGTGACTTAACGAGAGACAAATTGTGGCACATTCTCTCCTAATTCGTAGTAGGTATTTGATTCCTCAAAAAGCACCAATCATAACGTTAAGCAAGAGCTCGTTTGTTGAAGACATTTTGTATTATATACATTACTGATCTAACATTGAGGTTGGTTTTATATATGTACACATTTAACTAACTTTGATGACCCTCTATCATTACCGAGTCAAACTTCGTTTGGGCTTGATCTCATGACCGCCGCGTACCCTCTTATGCAAAAGTGCTTTTTCATAGTTCCTATTTTCCCCCATCCCCAAACTCCGGTGATTGGTTTAATACATCGCGGGTGCAATAATGCTGCAGTAGTGTTGCAGTTTAGCTGCCACGAATTTATTCGTAGATGCCCACCTTGGGGTTGTCCGCCTTATTAATTCCTCCCCTTGGTAGGGTTTATGTATGATCCCTTTTCAAGAACTTCTTGCCGTTAGTTTTTCCATTACCTAGCCTTGGACTTGACCCTGTTGGCTCGAGCAGCCGATGACGGGTGAAGATTGTCATTGTTAGTTAAGTCGTCGCTGTCTTCGATGATAGCGCCATCCTTGCTCTCGCCATATACCTCGCGCTCAAGGCCCTTTGCAGCATCCCAGCTAGCCTTCTCTGCTAGCATGACATTGCTTAGGCGGCGGTCCGGGTTGCTCTTAGCACGGACGACCTCAGCCTTGCTACGACGTAGGTAGCTCGTGATGAAGAACGACACGAACAGGTAAGTTAAAGGTGCGAGGTAGATAACGTTAAGCCAAATCGCGAAGGTTGCACCGCTTGTTGTAATACAATCAACCTTTTGGTATCGAGTTACATAATTGGCGCCCTGGTGTGTGGAATTAGCTTCGGACGAGGACACCACGGCAGCAGCGCTGGCAGCTTCGGCAGCGCCGAAAAGTGTCTTCTTGAGACCATTAACAAAGCTAGCGGCACTGGGGGTCGCGCTTGCAGAGGCAGAGATGCTCGATGCTGCGGCGGTGGCTTCAGCAGCAGCAACCTCGACCTGAACCGGGACTAGGTACGACATGAACGAATGGACAATGGCAACGGAAGCACCAATAATGAACTGTGAGATCTGGAGCGAGGTAATTGTGCGCTTGACCACCTGAGGCACGCGGATGTTGAAAGCTGTCACGGTAAAGTAGGTGTACTTACTCAGAGTTAGCAGCTAGATATAATTAAACTTAGAGACGAGAACCTACCATGAGAGCATGGATAGCCGAGTTGAAGAAGACGAAGATCCAGATGGGTGTCGACATGTAGCGCATACCAGCCCACATGGCCATCATAGCACCGGCGTGGTGGTAAGTCTGGAGTGTCGAGCTGTATTTGCCCTTGGCAAGGATAATCAGGGTATCAATAACCTCGTAGAACTTGCTGATGTAAAAGACCCAACCGTAGAATGCCAACCCCTCGTTCCAAATTCGGCCCCGGTCATCTGGGCTGGGAGAATAAACAGTATTCGTAGCACCGGCACCCAACGATGGTTCCCAGATTCCTCGAGCCTGGTTGTAATCGATACCATTTTCCAGACCGGCAGTTCCGTGGATCTTGCAGATACTGTCAACAGTACCGGCCCAGCCATTGGGTCCAACCGGGCTCACAATCGAGTTCCGGAAGGTATTCAACATGCCTAACCAGGTCCATGCCGAATATACGGCAAGGAAGACGTTATGGAGAACGACCAAGAAGTGGAATGCCTTTGTCTTGCTGATAGCCCATGGCTTCTTGCCGGTTGACCTGTTGTATGCATTAAGCGCCTTAGCGGTGACCGCGTAGACGGCAGCGATCGTGATAGGCACTTTTGGGTCCAAGGCGTTGACGTATAAGTTGTCTGGTATGCGGAAAGGTGCGTTAAAGCTCGGAGGAGGGATAGCATGGGGCTCTGAGTGAGGCGGGAACTGGAAAAGGGTGGCCGCTGGGGGCGAGAGGAGGACGATTGGTGTAGCCATTCTCGCTATTGGTATCCCAGATAGGAGAAGAGTCTTTACAACTCTGGTAACTAGAATTAGAGGCGCTGAATATAGATTCGTGAAGATGTACAAGGTGTATGTCGAGAGTTGTCTATGAACGCATTGGAGAAGAGAAAATGCAACTTTGGCCCTGCTGGAAGTCACAAATAAAAGGTCACGATTAAGAAGACAATATGTACGGAGGGGTTAGCTCCTTTTTTGAAGCTATCAAATATTTAAACCGCCTCTGCAAATTTACCACCAGGAAATAATAAAAATTTTGATGGATGGATGCAGTGCAGCAAGGTTCCTGCAGACTTGGCCGCGGTACAATTGATTTCTGGGTGCGCTAAGGCTGGGTTGGGACAGGGGGAATGACGGGAATGACGGCGAGGTCACGATATCTGTCGTCGCTCAAGTACCACGAAGCCAGAAAAAGCTCAACAGTTGAAGAGTCTGGTTATCTGGTAAAGATTTCCTTGATTTTCATTGGTCTGTTTAACTCGCCCCTGCCGAATCGGGTATAAACACTGTTTTTGGGTTGTGGAATTTTCGAACTGGCTTCCATACATTAGGTACATTAGGTATGTACTCTAGCCTCTAGTAGCGCTAAAAGATACCGGCTGCATATAAGTACCTAAGTACATACATACATATTGTAGGTATTGGGTAGACATTTACCTACCTATATCCCGTATTCGCCCATATATCATATGTTCTGTATGTAAGTCTGGTAGTGTATTGTGCTCACATTTCCCCGCTTATCGGTCATAAGGATGCAATTTTGACATATTCTTTCTTCCATTTTGTTGGTGACATGGTGACACAAAAGCAAGTGTCCTATCGAAGCCTGCGAGTGTCAAACGAGACGGCGTCTGGCATAATGTTGACCCCCATTGACTCTAGACTCTGACCGCTTCTCTAACGATTAGAGTTACCTAGCATGTGGTCGCATCTGATATGCCGAGGAAAGTTCGTTATGCCCGGTGTTTGTGGATCTCTCCATCATCCTAAGGACCGACTGGGTTGCGAAAAGCGGCTTTTATGCCGATATCATACTATATAGTCGTCATGAGAGGGCGAAGAGCTGAGCTTTGGAGCCCGATATCACAAGTCCGCCTCGGTAAGACCATCTAGAATCCATGGCGAGTACCAAACAGGAAAACCTAAAATTAAGTTGTTGGTAGACCAGTCCGGAGCACCGGGATACGGATAGGTGTGGGTCAACCGGCGTTGCGGGTGCCGCGAGAGAAACAATCTCAAGGCTCTCCGAGTTTCATCAACTCAAGAAACTTTGATTTTGAATTTTTTTCACTCATTTCTACTTTGACCGGACATGGACTATTATACTCATTTTCACCCATGTATAATAGTAAGCAGTTTCTTATCTGGGTGAGGGTATTATTGTTCAAAAGGTGGGATTCTCACCATTTGGTGGTTCTTGAAGCTGCAGACAATGAACCCGGATAACTTACTATAGTAGGTAGTATGTGTGTAGGTACCTAATGTTGCATTATCAAGTACCCAGGTAGGCAATCAAGCCTCAAAGTTCCGAGATCCGCTTCCCAACAAAACTTACAGTCTTGCAGTCTTGCCTTTCCCCTCATTGCATAACCCCCCGCATTATGATCGTATCAGCCAATGCATTTTTCTTTTTTCAGGGGCGAGTTCCTGGGTGGGTGGAGTCCACGGGTTGATCGTACCAGATCTCCCAATCAGGAAACAGAGTCGTGAAAAGGTACGTAAATACATATGCGGAGTCCCGACTTACAAGTCGTCACCTAAATTTCAATAAGTTAGGAACCTTGCGCTCATCCGAAAGTCGTCAGAGTACAGCTTGTCAACCTCGTAATCCTCACATGCACATGCACATAGGTAGTTTATATTCGATCATTACGTAGTTGTGACTTACACCATACTGTTCGGTAATTAACATGCAAGATGATGGTTTGCTCGATTTGCTCGATTTGCTCGATTTTGTAGCGGATGCTAAGTAAACGTAGTGGGCTTTACACACAACTCCAAAATGCAAGTTGCCCCTCTCCCAACAAAATTTGGAACACAATATTCATAGGGCTAAGTTCTAATATACCATGCGACGGAAGAGCACATATGGTAGTATTCGGCTAGTTTCAATTAACTAACTACGGTAACTATCACAAAACAGCATTACAAAAGCGTCGGATACATCTGTCCTTTTGACACAAACATCAAAACGTCAAACAATACTATAATATAGTAGTAACGAAGTCGAAATATCTTAGTCAAGTCGTCGCCCTTACAATTTTTGATTGGCATATTCTGGCGTATCCCCTGCTTAGACATCCGAGTTTTCCGATACCTTACAGAAGAGGGCAGTGCCATTCCATTTGGCTTTCAAGGCGCCTAAACGTGCTTATCTTCTCTGCAACTATTATGAACTAGAGATCTCGGCCGTTCCTAGTACTAATAGCAGATCTATGTATGTGGTTTCAACTAAACAGCTAACCCTAGACATTGCCTTATACCCCGCAATCAGGCTAGAGCTGAAGAGACTGCATTAGGAGGTACATACATGTAGGTAGGTATGTATATGTAAGGTAGGTTTATATGCAGATTAGAGCTGGACTTAGGTAAGGGGTACATTGAGGTTTATGAGGTTTAAAGAGGAAAATGGCCAATCAGCGTTTGAACGAGCGGTGAGCTGTTATACAATTCCTATTCTTCGTGGAGTTACTTAATCTAGCTTAACCAATCAGACTCAAGGGAGGCTAGGTACGAAGTAGTATGTATGTAACCTCAAAGAGCCGAGGCAAGTAAGAGGGCACAGACCAACTTATGGTTGTATCTTTTTAGTTCAACGACAGCTCTTCAAAGTAAAAAGTACCTAGGTAAACAACACAGATTAACTCATTTCTATGTTATAAATCACGGCTCTTTCTCGATTTTGATAATGGTTACTACTAATCACCTCACGGCACCTATTCCAACCCAACTCCCCGAGCTGAAGCCAGATACATACTTTTCTCAGACGCAATGGCAGATTCTCCTTGCGCTAGTCGATGCTATCGTTCCGTCGATTGTCGCAGACTCAGGAGTAACAGACAGGAATAATCACCTGCAAATTTCTAAATCTCAATTAGAGGAGTCATATGAACGTATAAAGAGTTCTATGAAAAACCCGCCAGACTATGAGAAATTCCAGCAGTATCTTCAGGCGCGTCCCTTGGACAACCCGCGATTCTTACGAGCAGTCAAGCGCATACTTGAAGGCGTTCCAGATAGTAATAGAAATCAGCTCGGCGCTATCCTAAATATAATGGCGTAAGGCGTATTCTTGTCCCATCTCGTAATAGTTGTAAGCCCCAGTGTAGCTAACGAGTTGAAAAGCACTCGTCTGGGGAGCCTAGCTGCAACGGGATATTACACTTCTTTAAACGAACAACCAATTCACGTCAGGGAGTCAATAGTTCAAGCGTGGAATCACTCGTGGATGACTGTTTGGCCGTTAATCGGAAACTCAATTACCAGAATAGCCAAGGTCTGCTTTGCTCAAACAGATCCCTTGTTTCGTGAGTTGAGCGGCTACACCGAGGTTAGCGACGACTATAAGCCCGGCCCGTCCTTCGACTTCGACTTCATGCAGTTCGAGGCCGGGTCTGAGATAGAAACCGTCGATACTGACGTCGTAATCGTCGGCTCGGGTTGCGGAGGGGCAGTCTGTGCCAAGGTCCTTTCCGAGGCTGGACACAAGGTAATCGTCGTCGATAAGGGCTATCACTTCCCCTCTTCCCAACTACCGATGACAGCCGAAGCGGGTGTTAATTTCCTTTATGAAGGAAATGGTGCCGTACAGAGCGTAGACGGCTCCGTGACCATGCTTGCTGGTAGCTGCTGGGGAGGAGGTGGGACAGGTATGTAATACTGTCATATATCAAAATTGGGATTCCTTCGACAAAATTACCGAAGAATCACTTCTCATCACAAATCCAATACCACTACGCCGGCTTCCTCTACTAAAATATAGCGCTAACACACTTTACTACAGTGAATTGGAGTGTTAGCTTACATCCTCAGGGGTTTTTACGACAGGAATGGGCGGATCAGGGCCTGGACTTCTTCACCACGCAAGAGTTCCAACACTGCATAGATCGTGTCTGCGACTTTAGTGAGCTTCTTCTTTGACTTCCTAGGCCATAAACTTCTGCATCTATGTTAGGATATATTGGATTTTAGCAGTCGGACTGCACTTTCCCGCTTCGTGTAATATTTTAGATGGAGGAATGCTAACCGTGATTATTATAGTGGGGGTTAGTGATGCCCATATACGCCATAATCATGGGGCAAACGTGATTCTCAACGGATCAAGAAAGCTGGGCTGGGCTGCCAAACCATGTCCTCAGAATACTGGAGGCGCCGAACACTACTGTGGCCATTGTGCTACCGGTTGCGGATCCGGCAAAAAGGAAGGCCCCTCTGTCAGCTGGCTTCCGGCTGCTGCAAGAGCAGGTGCGAAGTTTATTGAAGGCTTTAACGTCTCTGAGGTGCTCTTTGACGAGACTCGTGGATCGAAGACGGCGGTTGGCATATTAGGAACGTGGACATCACGGGACAAAGATGGAAATATACATACGCTTGAGTCCGAGAGGATCCAGAGACAGCTTCGAATAAGAGCGAAGAAAGTGATTGTAGCTTGTGGTACACTCAACAGTCCACTGTTGTTAATGAGAAGCGGGCTGAAGGTAGGACCCTTATTATACTACATACCTAGGTAATACCTTGGGGATGGCGCAGCCTAATTGGTTACCAGAATCCTCATATCGGCAAAAACCTTTATGTACATCCAGTCGGCCAAATGAACGCCTCTTTTGACCAAGACATTAAAGGTTGGGAAGGCGAGTATAAGTTAATCTCTATATTGTATCTAACGACACTAGGACTAACGGTGCTACGCAGGGGCTATCTTGACGAGTGTTTGCACTAGCTTCGAGAACCTTGATGGGAAAGGGCATGGTGTCAAACTTGAGCCGACTAGCGGTATGTATGAAAACATCTCGTATTGTCATTTTCGAACCCCCTTTTTAGAATGGTCTCGAAACACAGTAGCTAACGCTCAGTAGTAAGTATCGATGACCCTATCATTTCGACTCACTCGAACATAGCGAAGATTCTAGAATTGTAGGGTTGCAAAGCTGACACGAAATGTTCTCATGCATTAGATGATTGTAAGATAGCCCAACGCTTACTTAGTCGTAACTAACTAACTCATGTGATTACATATAGCCTCATATGTTCCTTCACGGACACCCTTGGCGAAGCGCGCTTCAATGGAAGCTAAACCTTCTCCGCTGCCGGCAGATGAACAGTTACATCGCCATAGCCCGTGATCGCGATACAGGGCGAGTGTATCCAGATCCAAACGACGGCCGGCCTACTATCGAATACTCACCCTCGGCCTTCGACCGTAAACACATATTAGCCGGAATAATCGCCCTAGCAAAGCTATGCTACATTGAAGGCGCAACCGAGATATGGCCATTTGTCAAAAGTATACCGTCGTTCGTACGGCGTTCCCGCCCAACTAACACCACGCCAAAAGCAGAAGCAGACGAGTTAAACGATATCGACCAAGGTATCAACGACCCGGACTTCGCCGCCTGGCTTAAGACCGTCGAACGGACCGGACTTAACTACCCGGACGCGACCTTCTCGTCGGCGCACCAGATGGGGACATGCCGCATGAGCGCGCACCCAGCTCGCGGCGTCGTTAACCCCGAGGGCAGGGTCTGGGAGACAAGCGGCTTGTACGTGGCGGACGCGAGCGTGTTCCCGACTGCAAGTGGCGTCAACCCCATGATTACCGGCATGGCTATTGCGGATTGGATCGCTAGGCGTGTCTCACGGGATCTGGTAAGAGGAGATCAGATTCGCGCCGCTTTGTGAGATATACCTATGACCTCTACTGGGGGCGGGGGAGAAGGGGGGTGCGCGATCCACGAGTATGTGCTATTACGTGGTGAGCTTGAAGTAACCTCGTAGGAGGGGATTGCTATTACGACTTATCTACGTCCTAGAGTTTGTTTTGACATGAGTACATGAGTACCTATATTGCCATAATAAGCTGCGTCGTAGCTATTCTCTTGATGTTTACCGAATATCTAGGACTTTCAAACCCCTTAAAATTCCGGAGCGCATAGACTTGTAGAAAGAGAAAAGTGTTGTGAGAGTAATACAATTATAATTCTCACACGTCGCAGTGAAATCCCACGGACGCCATAGGATCTCATCCGGATAAGCGAGTCGAAGACCGAACACTCGGAACTGGTAGACTCGGTGTTGATGTATGTAGTACTATGAGCTAGCCGGCACCCTCGAATAGATCCTAGGTAGTGTCTATGCTACGATATGGGTTATCATCTAAGACTTGGCGAGATTCCTTCATACCGGGATACGGCCCGAGCTGAGGCACGAGTATCCCAGCAGCACTTCTTGTCCTGGAGGCTTACTAGCAGCTACGGCAGTTTATATAAATACCTGTACCTATTATAATCTTTATAATGTTTATATTTGTCATTAAACAACAGCTGGACCTGTCAAATGAATAGTTAGGAGGTATAAAATAAGATGAGCTGAACATCTCGACCCCTACTACCACGCAACAATCTTATGCATAGCAGGTTTAATTAACTGCAACAATATCAGCATCTGGGTCTATTGCGTCACTATCGTGTCCTACGTTCTCGGAAATCTGGAGGCTGGAAATAAGCATCACCGTGTGATACAACCTAGTCAGATATTGCGGTGCACAAAGATGGGGATGCTTGAACGTTGTCATAAGGTTATCAATGCCGTACGCGTATCCGGGGGGTGGCATGGCTGCAATACTATAGCCTTAATCTCTTCTACCCGTCTTGGTAGGACTCAATATTAGCTGACCGCCGGTCTAGATTCACGACCCAAGGATTGGCAGTAGGCTATCTAATACTCATTCCTGGGCTGAGAATAAGCACCTAACTTAAGATATGTTATTTACTTAGTTACTCAGGGGGGTATTATCGTCGATTACTCTATGCATAATACGACAGTCAGCGTCCCTTTCGGTATGCAAGGCCGTAGTAGATAGAGACGACCATCATACAGAAAGATGATGGCATGATCTAGATACTACAACGCTCCTGCTTACAGGCTGCATCTTCTTGGACGTCCGTTTGGGAACACTAGCTCGTTCGTTAGTCTAGTAGCACGAAGTCTTGGAATGAGCGGTCAACGGTGCGGCCTTGTTTACTCGTGACGTTTTCTGTTGTGTTTCCCTCGTGCGGCACTATTACGCATTTTCTAGTTCGAAACCGAGAGGTGTAGATAGTGGCGACGAGGCTATCTTGCTGCACCATACGAAGGGAAAAACGCCCACCTGTTTATCTATAAGCACTGACAACATCAGGCTTACAGCTGCAGGACAATGCAGGACTTGATCGGCATAGAGACTGACATCAGCTTTTGTAGGTACCTAGGTAATCCATCCTATAGAAATGAGTCTTTAACAAGGCTTTGTGTATTGCCACATGGCACACATGGCGAAACCTTCCAGCCCCCAACTCAAGACGGTAACAGCGCACGAGGAAAGAAGACGAAACGACACTTTGAGATTAAAGTTTACCAATAATCTGGAGAAAGGGACGGCGCGGTTAATTAGACTTTCGGGCACTCCCGTTCGGTGTTACTATTTGCGTTCCCTAGTAAGCTTCTTTGGGTATTCTTTTAATCATTTACTCCTCGTACGGCGACCAATAAGCATCGCCGACACCGCTCCAATTTATCTGCTGTGTTCATCTGCTGTGTTCGGGTCGTAAAGAAAAAAAAGGGGGGAGGGGAAAAACCCAAGCCGGATATTTTTTTTCTTTTTCTGACCCCTCCTCTTCTCCAAATGATGGCCATAAAACAAGGAAAAGGGGGATATCCATTCTTCTAGACTCGGGGCTCAGCCGCACACGTTGCAACGGCAGGCTTATCTCATCTGCTACTCTCACTCCCACCCCTAAGAAGAATTGGAAACCAAGGCTCGTAGGGCTGTTATCGTCGCGCCTTGGAATATGCCTCATGCGCGCGGGCGCGCGGAGCGAGCGCTTCTCGCCCGTCAGCACCTAAAAGGGTTCGGGAACAACGCGGCTGTTAGAAGACTTCGGCTGATAACTCCGAACTCCTTCTGCGCTCTGTGACGCGCGCGTCACTACATAGTATTACTTACACCACGCCTCGCGCTTAATATATAATATAAAATATTAAAAAAATGATAGTAATGCAAATAAGTGAAATGAATACCTAGATACGTACATATAATTTAATTTTTACCGATAGAGAATCATACCGATCGGTATCATGTCTTATACGTACTTACTCTCTTTACTCTCCTTTTCCTATTCACTGTCCGGCAATATGATGCCGTACTCCATTACGGTGAAGCATCCGGTAGTCTCGAAAGAGGGGCCGGGCGATAGTTTATTTTATTTCATTTCATTTTATGTATGCTGTATGCGGGTCGGCATGTTGGTCGCTCTCCGCCACGACCTTACATCCGCATGCATGCATGCATATGTATGTATGTCTCTCCTCCTACTATTCACTATTTACATTAGATTAGTAAGACACCCTACCTAGCCTACATCAACGTGCAGGCCGTATTCGTTTCTCGTTGATGGGTTCTGTGGCACGCCGGTGCAAGACGCGAATGCCGCCGTCTGTTTCTAATAGACTGACACATAAAGTAGGCTTAGATGCGGCAATTATGTATGTTTGGCGTGTGTTTTACCCCATACGGATGTTGCGTATGTAATGCGTGAAGTTGAGAAACATGACCCAACATAACCCAACATGCATATAGTACGCCCCCTATAATAATGTTATTCAGCGGACCCCTAAAACTACTTCGCTAAGATCCTAAAACGTATGTCTACTGCTGCCTTATAAAGTTGTCGTAATTTTTCAAAAACGTTATTTCAAAGTATTTTATGCTATAAAACCTTGGTATAATAATTAAAATGTTTTAAAAAGCGTTGCTTTATTCAGAATTAAAAGTCCTGTTTTGTATTATGCACGCCCGAAAAACTAACATTACCTATTACAGGGGGCGTACTATACATTAGGTACCTAATAGATGGCTGAAGCAAAGCCCATCGTGCGTGCATGTTTCGACCGTGTTCTTTTCGTGGCGCAGTTAACGTCACATGTAAGTACGTACATACACATACACATATACTACTTGCACTTTACTATCAATTTTATCTAACAACCACCATCGAAAGAACGTGAGGGCCACACGTCAGAAGCAGTATAGCATAGGTATGGCATATGGCATGTAGCAGCGCTCGGCAGGTTCTGACGATCCCCCACATTTGCCCGATAAACAACCAAGACAAAAAAGCGAAAAACCAGAAACGGGGAAAAGATAGCCTAACTCGATAGAGTACCTACCTAATCCGGACATGATGATGACGAGATCTTCGCGGCAGACAAACTGTCTCCTATACGATACATATCGCGACGGACCTGATATTCGCACATACGCGACTAGGGAGCCATGTCGCGTATTACATACATCTTACCGGGTGAATAGATATATATGTATGTATGTATTTATGTATGTATATTAGCATGCGGAATTCCGTATAAGGCCTTGTATTATACGATCGACACCACATACAATAGGTAGGTAGTAGGCCCGTAAGAAATCGTAGACCGAGAGTGGGTTCGGTTCAGATAAACATAGTAACTCACTGGTAACCAGCCTGCTAAAATTGAAACCGATCTGCCAAGTCCCATCGGCCCTGTCTCTTGCCATGTGTTTCCGGATGGGGTTCGCAACTCCGGATAGACAGATGCCGTTCTCTTCTTCGCCTGTGTCTGTGTGGCATATCACAAGAGGCAAAAAGAACTCAAACTTGTGGCTTTCGTCTCGTTGCTGACGCGCATGCTACTACATAGTAGATCATCAAGGGCTTACTATTTAGTCTGTGTCTGTGTCTGTACTAATAACGGAGGCTGGCGACAGGAAAGGCAAGTCCAAAACATCCCAACGGCCGCGTCGAACGGCGCAGCGCATGGGATAGAGTGTTACGTTTCTCTTGCGCCCATGCATGCCCCACGCGTTGGAACCTAACGAAGGTCAATGATTTTAGGGGGGAGGGACAACATAGTGACACATGTGGCTTATGAACTTCATAATGTTCAATTAACTACCTACGTAGATACTATTGTGATTTCAAACTAAACAATGCAGGGGGGAGCTTTTTGACCATACATGCCGGCCGTGTTTGATAATTGCCTCCAGGGCCACCGCCGACACGACTCTTTTATCCAGCATCTCATGCCACTTAGTCGGTACTTGCGCAGCAATGTACCCCCTGTGCGGCTCACCGTCACTCATCCGGGGAATCTTTCGTTCGCACCGGGAGATCCGGATGTAGTGAGACGATGCTACAATTTGCCGCGCATCATTCCCAGCCCTCTATCCCTGGAGAAAACAACCTACCTCCCTTCATCGACTGCCATGGCCACCTGCATGTCTAGGCATGCCTACCAGAAGTTGGTAGGGCGGCCGCGTCGCGCACCTAACTCGGCGCGGCGCTTAGTCAAGTCTCTGGGAGAGGCGTTATTCCGAGGGATGACCTGATGGATCTAGTAGTGTGCGGGCAAAGACGGCGGTAAAGGGCTCCGCATTTCCCTGCTCAGCAAGGGTTTCCAAATTATGCCCAGCTTCTTTTGTGTGATCGTGAGATCTTTCCCCCCTCGCTTTCAGGTCCCGGCCATTGCGTTCCGGATTGCTTACCGATCTTGCCACGGCGCAACCCAGAATACGCAAGAGGCCTTGGCATGCTGACAACCAGTGTCTGCCTTGGGGAGCAGTATCTCGGATGATCTGCTTTGATTTCGGTTTCGATGCGACGTGTAGAATCGACCGTGCAAGATGCAACTATGGGACTCAATCCCTTGCATCTTCCATTCGAATAATCCATTGTCGCTTGATGGGATTTCTTGCTTCGAAGAGAAGGTTCAACGTCAAGTTGAATATGGTCCTTGTCGTCGAGGAAGTCGTCATTAAGCTCGTGGAAATATTCGTCATTAGGTCGTTCATTAATCGTAACACATGAAACCGAGTCCCGGGAAAAAAGAATGAAGAGTATCTCCTGAAGCGAGGACGCGAATCAGAGGGCCGAATCCATCGTCCATGGTTTCGCGGTTTGTTAATCGGGGTATCTTTGTCTAAGAAAGCCACTTTATGCCGTATAACGAGAGGAAAATAAAAATGTGGTAATCGAAAAACTTGTCCTGTCCAGGTCTTTGCCGGGCGATGATCGGGTGCATTGCTGCGTATACCTCTTATTTTAACGTAGAAAAGGAAAATCCAGCCTCACATATCTCGAGGCCCTGCCCTACTTGTAAATGCGATCAGATACCCACCGAGTCCCAGCCATGTGGTGAAAAAGAAATACAGCTTTGTGACCGAGCTGGCGGTTGTGAAGATGTGAGGTATACCCTATAAAAACAGACGCTCGCTTCCCAAACATAAAAATAAAATAAAAAAGAAACACCGAGATTATTATATATGCCAAAACGGTCGAAAAGTTCGTTCCTGATCGATGCAAAACGCCGGGATGCACTGGGACGCGATGAGATCTATGCTGCAGATGTCTTTTTCGAATTGGAGGAAACGAGAACCGAAATCACCATCTGAAGTCAGAGGGCTGCTAAGAGGTCGTTACCACTGGCAGGCGATCCTCCGTGGCAGGCGGTGATTGTCATATGGTCGTCGTATACTCTTGATATCGATCCCAACCGAAACCGCCATATCCAACACCCACACCGCACTGCGACGCTAACATGCTGGGAAGCGGTAGCGCCGGAATCGGAGCCGTCACCATCGGCGAACTGTAGAACATTCCGGCCGTGGAGTACGGTTGGCTGTACGGTATGCCCGGCGAAGTCACTTGAATGTCATGCAACCCCATGTTAGCCCATATCGGCGCAGTCGATTCTACCGAGGTAGAGTTGGGGCTTGAGGGTAGAACCCTCCATGGCTCGACCGGAGCAGGCATAGCAGGCGAATGCATAGATTGCGACCACATGTTCGCGCCCACTGGTGAACTGGGTAATAATGGCGGTTGGCGGACGACATCGACGATCTTCGGCGGTGGCGGTAGTAGCGGTTTATTTAGCAATCCCATGATGTTATTCTTAACCTCCTCACTCTTCCCACATAATAACTCTCCAACACCCTCCTCTTCTAAACCCTCGAGGGCGGAAACATGAGTTCTATAAACGAACTTGTTAATAGCCTGGATGAAGTCTTCGTGCAATTTCTTGGCGTGCTGCTCCTTCTCGGGCCAGTCGTAAGTGTCGGCCTTAGCGTTGACGCAGTAGATATCCTTGTGATATTCGATAAGAGATTCTATCGAGTCGGGCGTCAACTTATAAGCGACTTCATTCCGCAATACCATATCCACATGAACAATATAAGCCTCGATATGCATTAGCTGATAGTTGAACAGAGCCTCTATTAGCGGATTAGAATCCTTGCGCAGGTCGGACTCGGGTGCCTTTGGTAACATCAACGACGCCAAAGTCCAGATGGCATTTGGCGAAGAGAGCGTCTCGGTCAGACATCTTTGGTGTTGCGGTATGCTGTTCAGCGGCCTCTTGACTCTGTTGATGCGCTTTAGAGTTTGTGTTAGCCAAGGCTCGACTTTAGAGCCGAGGACGACGTTGACGGACGAAGCTCGCGGCGCAAAAGCGGCGGCCGAAGCCGGTAACAGTTGTGGAGGCATTGTTGTATAGTACTATAAACTCCGGAGGAGGACAGAAGAAATGCGACAAGGAATATCCAAAGGTGGTGGAGAGCGCTTGCGGAAGAGAGGGGGGTCAAGTGAGATGGGAAAGACGAATAATAATAATAAAAAGACGGCACAGAAAAACTAGGCGTTCCCAGGACTGGGGATTAGCGTGTACGCCTACAACCGCAAATAAGAAGAAGAGAACGGTGGACGAGTAGCTCGTGAAGAAGAAAGAGGAGGGTGAGAAAACTCGTGTTGTAGGTGTGGGGGTGTGTTATAGTAAAATCCTCTTGGTGCTCTGTTCTTTGACTTTTTTCCCCCTCTCTCACCCTCGGCGCGCCGTGTACAATATAGTAGATCGATTTTCCGTCCCCTGCTCGCCCTCTCCAATCCCTCGGAGCATTCCTAGCTGGTAATGGGATGGTATGGGCCATGCGGGCAGGCCTGGTTTCGTACGGTCTTCCATGGTGTGTCCACTGTCTTGCATTAGGAACCACCACCAACGCCAGGTAGGTCAGGTAGGTCAGGTAGGTCAGGTATGTCAGGCAAGTCAGGTTAGGTAGCGCCAGGTAGCATCCGCAGAACGAGGCAACGCAGGGCAGGCATCAGAATAATCCACCGATACCACGGCCGACGCACCCTAGTCATGCGCGGCAAAAGAGGAGCCATCGTCGCACTGCACTTTTTGAGTGGGCTGTGTATGCGACTTGCATATGCCCCAAAAGAGAGAAGAGCAAATGGGAGAAGTAATTCTGAACGACCCGAGCTGAAAATGCTGCAGGTGTGGCCAGTGCAGCGCCACTAAACTCTACCTACTTAGCCTCTGCCAAACTCGATTTCCAGGCCACATCTAATGTACCGGTACAAGCGACAAGGAAGCCCTCCTTGGGAAAGAACCCACCAACATGTCCACAGCCCAAAGTACCCATGTACTTGACATATGTCAACTTCCAAGGTTGCTTCCTTTATCCGGTACCTTCAATACAGTGGACATGCACACTCAATCAGGAAACATCAACTGTTTCTTGTTTATCCTATTCTTTTTTTAATTTATATAGATGTTTACGTTGCCTTCAGCCTCGTTTGACGTATCTTAGGTGGTTTTTGTTGTTATGAAGCATTCCGAGTTATGAGTATTAGTCCTCCTGTCCCGCTTCATATCACTTTAATAATGTCACGTAGTAGAAGAAAGAAAAAATGCTCCGTAAAAATGATTTATAGTCTAGAAGGTCGTATGCCTAATGCCTATCTAGGTTGGTACATCTGTTTCATCCGAGAAGAGGTACCGATATCGTTACTACTTACATATTCATCGGCCCATCTGCAATGGAACTAGTTCTATATTGGACTTTGGAATATTAAACCCCCTTCCCTCGGTGATTCTTTTGAGATGTGATATTCATACATTAACGTCGCATTGGAATAATAAATAAGCACACTGTCGAATCTAGAAATGTGATATCGCTGTTAGTCCTAGACACCAAATAGAAGCACGTTGCAAATAATAAAGCACTATATACTAATTACGAGATCATCCTTTCCCTGCATGAACTTCTTGAGCAAGCTGCAGCTCTATCTAGTACCGAAGGAGCCTTGTCGTTGTAGTCATGCATGCTGGTGGACGCAGATGACCTAGAAGCCCATATGGTAACCAATGCAGTAGCCAGTCAGATCAAAAGAGCGTGCCCCATAGACCATCGATATGAAAGGTCCAATTCGCTGTTAGGAGATCGCCCGGAGCTCTTGGAACATCTCTGGAAATTGCCGTATCAATGCAACTTGCCGCTTTCTATTCATTGGAAGTAAGTTGAAACTGATTGAGAAATAATTGGTAGACGTCGCTTGACATTGATCGACTGATGGTAACCCTTTGATAATAGATACATCCTTGCTGCCAACCAGTAAGAGTCCCCAGCATCCTAGAGCTGCATTGCGATGCTGCTATATTCTGGGGCAGCTCCTGATGACTTGCATGCGAGTGAGGAGATAACGTGAAGCGTCGCCGCTTCAGTAGGTAATCTGAAACCTAGTAAGTAAGCTATATGTATGCCTCAAAGAAGGAGAAGAAGAAGACTAGCGCTTGACCAAAAGGTCTTCTTCCCTTTCGAGTCAGATGCAGAAACGACACTCGCCTCGGGCTTCTTGCCGGTTAGTCCTAGAGGAAGAGATGGATCCGCCGAGAGTTATATCTGGGGTACAGAATCCATAAGCCGAAGAACCGCAAGGGAGAACGGGCAATCTCGTACGCTCATAGAGGCGCTTACAGCGTCAAGGAGCTAGTCGATGGGCCATATAAAAAAATGAGGCATCACAAGATAGGGTCCAGATTGCGTGTGTATATTACCAGATGGGGACGAAGAGAAAAGAGCGAGCAAGTCTGACGAGAGCTAGAGCCATGTCGATATTGAACGAGAACCAGTCGATGGCATATGTCAAGGTTGTAACCCATGTTAGGGGCAGAAGGTGAGTTGAGGTGTGTCGATGTAAATTAGCTGTTTTGGGTTATAATTGGTTGATTCATGCGAACCGGAAAAGTATTGAAGTGGAGAAAGTTGATTCGAGGTTGAATTTCCATTGGCTATAAAATGAGAAGAATCAGGGAAGCACCACGATGATATTTCTGGGGACCTCTAAGTCTAGATGTGAGCGAAACGGAAAATAAGGATAAGAACAAGCGAATGATAATTCGAGAAAAAAGAAATTCAATTCGTGTTTCATGAAAGGAGCCTCAGGTCCCCCAGGGGGTTTAACAAAAGGAGGAACATCTCCAGTCTCCTATGTGTTTACTTCCTCATCTGGAATATTACCATCACCCCATTACGGCACCGACTAAGACTAAACTTAGTTCCCGCCCCGGAATATCGGTCTTTGGTTACACCGAGAGTCCAGACCAACCCTTTAATAGGTTGTATATCAAGGTCCCCGGGGTTCTTCGATCGTATCGTGATCTAGTTGATAGAGAAGCCCGCCGACTCCTGAGATCCACTAGGCCGATCTTGAGCGAGTTGAGGCTTCGTCACGTCGACGTATGCCTTAGAAAGGACAGCCGGCTATTAGACGGCTCCGCTACTACATGTATAGCATCCTTGGGTGTGAGTATCATAAACAGGCCCATGTTACATGATCCAGTAATGCCGAATCTAAGCTTCCAGCAGAGAATCAGTCATGTGGCCCGAACTCGAGACGCTCTCAGCCGAGAGGAGACAGGATCAACAAGGCCACCTAAAAACGATTGGAGATATCTGCTCACCTGTTTCGGTCAGTAGAGATATGATACAGATAATTCGATTGGCTGAAAATATGATAGTTGAATGAAATGAATTTTGATGATTGGTAAAGGTAGCAAAAGAGATAGAATTCTCGGTTGCCGAAGTCACTTGACCGTCAATGCCGGTGTGGCTCGTGCATACCTCCTACTGGAGGTAACCTTGTCCCTGGTCCGTGCATCTCGATTCTATCTTTAGGTAATCGCAAGTATGTACCGGTACGTATCCAAATTTCTTGCGCATCGGCAGGCTAGCAACGGCCTCTCCGTAGTCCACAATTCCGTTCCTTGCCGCCTCACTAGGTACCTATGTATTTTTACCTTTTTTACAGTGACAAGCCACGTCGCTTCTAAATTCTCCGCGCAAGGTTCCTGTTTGCCTGCCTACAGATCGCTTCATGACGTCCCGTCGTAACGGATCTTGTCGTGATGGATCTTCTTAGGAGTATGGAGATTCAGGTTATCTCCACTAACATGTGCTTCTTCACGGACCAACAAAAGCCTATTAGAACCGCAAGGTCGGGGCACAAATGGGAGGCAACCCAATGGAGATGTTTCCATGGTCTGCCTCGTCTATACCATCTACCGTGGTAAGACCCGAGAGCATATTTTCGTGCATCATATCCGCTTACATGCAGCTCAATGGTTCTATGATGCATCGGTGGAGACGTAGATGTAAGAGTAGCCGCCAGGTCGATTAAGTCAGCCGTCCCTTGAAGCCGTCACGAGCTTCACGCGGCCAATTTGCGAGGGCGGTATTAACCCCTTCTAAGACGAGACGCGCAACGGCGATATCATTAGAGGAATGATGGCCAGTAAATTCCAGTGCATTAAAATACTATATTGCCTATGTATGTACGTTGATTAAGAGCCAAGTCAAGGCTCAACGTGGTCTTTTACTTAGTTAGGTACCTCGTAAATCCAGAAGCCAGAACAACACGTCTTCACGTATTCCTTTGGTTACCAAGTTCTTTAGGTAGTTTCTTAATTAGCCGATCTCGAAATAGCGCAAGAGAATATGGAATCATAAGATCGTATTACGTAAATAGCCATTGCCGCGAAGTATGCAATAATAGAATACTAATAAGGAGTGCCCACATGATGATAAATACATGTGAAAATCGACTCGATCTCTATCGCTGTGGCGCAAGCTCGGCATTAAACAAGACCCTTGCTTTTCTGTACATAGAGACACTTCCACCATGCGCGGTAGTTCACATCTATGGCTCCACACAGATATGTAACTAAAAGTTACATGTTACCAACTTGTGGAAATTCCAACTGTAAGGGCATGTATGATAGGCGTCCCGTTACGAAGAATTCTGCCAAGGTTCCCAGGCGAATGGATAGGCATTGTTCTGATACATGACACTTAAGGTGATCCTCAGTGAAATAGTCAGTTCAAATCCATGTGAAGCTGAAAAAAGACATACATATGTAGGTACGTACCTAAAGTTGGTTTTCGTATGCGGGGACCTTGTCGATCCATAAACCCCCAGTCGATTTATTTTTTAGATACATACGAAGTACGTAGGTACCTAGCCTGGACCCTGGGGAAATGTGGCTGTGTTTAGTTACACAGCACAGCTCTAAATTCCACGTTGCGGCCCGCCAGCGCATCACAACGTTACTTATTAGCCACACCTGCCGCCGGCACACGGCACACGGCACACGGCACACCGACTGAACAACTCAACGATCTTAGATTTCTCGCTTAGTCTCCACCGCATTTAACAGATTCGAACCGGATATGTAGAGCATCTTTCCTTGTGCGTACGTGCGTGCGTGCGTGCATAAGCGAGGCCATGACCTCATAGGGGATTTACACCTTAAGCCTTAAGGATGCGGAACGTCCGAATCCGCTCAACAAACAGTACTTACTACTATGCAGATAGACTCATCAGAGGGGCCCTCTAGAAGAACACGAAGGACTAAAGACCCACAGCATAAATTCTACAGAGTTACTCGTTCATCAACTAAGGCTTTTCGTTCGGATCGACTTTGCCTCG